TATTTATTATTTTTTACATTTATGTAAATTTATTTCTATTATTATTACGATCACTAACAGTTATTTTATTACTCGTTTCATTCATTATATTACATGTTTTACTTATTGTTTGCTGTTACATAAATTATGAGTAAATCAATACATTTGAATGAAATATGCACATAATAACAAAATTATATTCAAAGCAATTGTTTTGTTAATTATTTAAGCATTGCATTATTTAGATATTTTTAATACTATTTAATCATAATTATAATATGAATGTTGTTTTAATTGTTTTTATATGTGATGTTAGACTCATTAGAATAGTTTACATGTGTGTGGATGTCTTTCATCACACTGTTTTGCAACTTTACTAATTATTATAACAAACAAAATAACATGCAGTCATGTGAAAAAATAGGGCACCCCATAAGAACCTGGGTATTTTTTAAGGTTTTTTTTTATATGTGGTGGTTTAATCTCAATTTTAACAATGCCGAAAGATTAGGGCAACAGAACTAAACAACCAAAACCTTTTCAAGATCTTCTGTAAATGTAACTCTCCAAAAAATACATATTTTAACTGAGGAAAAAGTTAAGACACCCTACCCCTCAATAGCTAGTGTTACCCTCTTTGGCTGAAATAACTGCAGTGGGCCATTTCTTGTAGCCATCTACAAGGTTGGTCTGAGGAAAGTGTAGCCCATTCTTCAATAAAGAATTCTTTTAGCTGTGAGATGTTTAAGGGGTTTCTTGCATGTACAGCTCGTTTCAAGTCACACCACAGCATCTCAATAGGATTAGTATCAGGAGGGTGACCTGGCCACAAAGTTTGGTTCAATGTTAAGTCAATGGGACTTTTCCAAATTTTCCAGGTCAGTTTTAGGAAAACCGTAAGTCGGATCAGTTGGAAAAGATATAGCAACTTCATTCAGTATAGTTTGGTGGTTGTAGTATGAACGATTTAGGAGGAGATGTGTTCTTAAAATAGTCTAAGAAAAAGAAGACGGAAGAATAACAAGTTTATGCAACAGTATGTTGGCTTTCTCAAGCCACCATAATAACCATAATAAAAAACCTTTCAAAATACCCAGGTTTTCATATAGGGTGTCCTAATTTTTTCACACGACTGTATTTTTATCTGATAAATAATAGTTGAAAATGCAAAAAGGTTTCCGCGTGGGTTAGGTTTAGTGGACATTCCAACAAAAACGATCTGCCATACACTGAATTGAGCTGGTTTAGTTCTACATTACAAGCCATCTGTCAAGATCTTTCATACACATTTACTGATGTTTGATTGCTATGATGCATTGAGAGTTTTAGAGCTGATGTTAGACAGAGAGAGAGAGAGAGAGAGAGAGAGAGAGAGAGAAGATGGAGCAAGTCATGGACAGATTTGATTTATGTCAGTTCTGATCTGCTCAGTAACTCATCTGCTGACATTTCTCTCTCTCTCTCTCTGTTTTTAGCAGTGCTGTTGAGAGCGGAGCTGCCCTCATTTATCAGACTGTCAATCCAGCCTCTACTGCACACCACTGCTCTGACACACTGACTAATGATGGCTCGCACTAAAGACACCTTGTTCTTCGTATATCTCACACACACACACACACACACACACACACACACACACACACACACACACACACACACACACACACACACACACACACACACACACACACACACACACACACACACACACACACACACACACACACACACACACACACACATTTCTACTGATTCACACTGACAGACTGACAAATGATGTTTCAAAGCAAAGACACCTTGCTATTTCTCTTTCTCTCTCATTCTTTTACTGCCTCCATCTCACTAACTATCTTATCAAACATATAAATGATATCCCGGTGTTATTGCAGCCTTTCTGATCTCAGACTATTTAAGAATGTGATTGGAAAGCAGGCCCTATGTGGTGCAAATCGAATGTTTATTGCACAGTATATTCTGTTGTTAGCAACACAGTTGTGGAAATATTGATTGTGTTTGTTTTCTCCCAAGATGCTCTTGCCCAGTAAATGTGCTTTCATTGTGATAAATTCATGAAATAGCAGGGATGATGTTGAATTGTAGGGGGAGATTTCCACCTAGTGGCCGGTTTTGGCTTAACAGCTTGTAAGTTTTAAAAAATGAAGGTAGGCTACCTCATATTATTCTACAATGTGGACGTTCGCTCTTTTCAGCTGTTTTTTTCCCAATACATTTGCCTATTGGCGATTAAAATACATTTAAATAATAAAACATAAATCTGTGTTTATGATAATATGATAAAATTATACAATAAGAAAGGTCCAGTTTGCAATAAGACCCTGGACACTCTAAAGGTTTAGCTGCGACTGTTCTTACAAGCAGATGCGGACTTCCCGTGAATTGGATTTGCATATTTGTGAATTGTGTTTTGAATTTACGAATTGGATTTGCATATTTATGAATGTTTTTTTTTTATTGGATTTGCATATTTTTAATTGATTTGAAGTTATAAATTGGATTTACATATTTTTATTGTGTTTTGAATTTATTAAGTGGATTTGCATATTTTTAAATTGTGTTTTGAGTCTACGAAATGGATTTGCATATTTATGAATTGTGTTTTGAATTTATACATTTGATTTGAGTATTTATTCATTGTTTTAAATTAATTAATTGAATTTACCTATTTTTGAATTGTGTTTTGAATTTATAAATTGGATTTGTGTGTTTATTAATTGTTTTGAATTAATGAATTGAATTTGCCTTTTTATGAATTGTGTTTTGAATTTATGAATTGGATTTTTCTGAATCGTGGTTTGGATTTATGAAGTGGATTTGCATATTTATGAAACATGTTTTGAATTTACAGATTGTTTATTAATGTAAATTTTCTTTGTAAATTGACTATTTCTGAGACTGATCTGACTCCATAATTCCAGCTGGGGCCCTTTATTATTATTTTTTTTAATAAACTGCATGTTAAAAAAATATATTTTGTTTTGGAACCTTTATCTTCATAAACTCACAAATAAAAAACAAGTTTACAAACTAACAATGTAGAGTTCATTAGCCATGTTTGTGGTTAATTTTAATATTTGCATGTGCAGTATGGAAGGAACATTCCCCTATTCATGGGGGCTAATAAAATCTTAATGGTTAAAGACCCATGTATGTATAATGTATAAAAGAGCTATAATACAGGCTTCTTGCCATTGGTCACGGCCCCCTAATCCCCGGGGCCTTGATTATTGGTTAAGTCCACCGGTTTACATAAATGTTCAAAACTAAATGTATAAAGCCAAAAGGCCAGGGAAATTGACACTGTATTTTTGTACATTACCAGTCCATCCATCAAAACAAACTAGCAACAGCTATGATGTAATGTGATGTTGCATATCACACAACTAGCTGACAAATCACAACGATTCTATGTGAACTCATAGATATCAATTTAACCGTGAAATCACATCATGGTCACATTCACATGGCTTACTTTTCTCAAAAGTTGACATTTAAAACAGTAGACCTTAACAACATAACGTTACTCTGTTAAATTAAATGTAATTGCTTTTCTGATTTCCTGTGGGCCACAAGTAGTTCTTGACGTCGTTCCCTTAATGCTATCAACCATTGAGTCCTTTTATTTTTTGTAAATTTCAAAAAGTTATATAAATTTACACGCAATAATTAGAATTTAGGATCCTCTTTTACTAAGTTAATGTGTCCAACATTGCAGCCTTTATTTGTTCATTGGTCAAAGAAGTGCACTTGCAGGATTTGTGTGTGTGTGTAGTATTAAATGGTACCAAAAAATACTGTATTAAATGAATTGTTCTTAGCATTACAAGCTAGCAATGCATTGTTTTTTTTTTTTTACACAATTTATTAAACAAAACATCAATGATGTACGAAAACTATCGTAGCCACAAATTAACTATAACATAGTTTATGTAATATAACCGTGGTTGTACAAGTGGTTATGCCATTTTTTAAAACACCTATATAGCTAGTGCTCTGGCTCTGTTGTTTGAGATCATGAACTTGCAAATCTTTAAAGATAAACAAATTAAGACAGACTATTGTTTCTGTAGTAAGAATATAATTTGTAAAAGCCAGTTAGGTAAACGTCTCTGAATAGTTCACTGCAGGAAAAATGGAATAAAGCTGATGTAGGAAACACTAATGAAGACTTTTGACACATGGTGAGGAACTGAGGCTTGCAGCAACAATTCTCCTTCAAATGACTCAGGAAACCAGCATTTTTACTGCTACAAAATGTGTCATGTATGTTCCCAGAAGAAAATGTTTAGGGAAGTTCAGAAACAGTGCCTACTGTTATCCAAAATAGCTCTCTTTGGATTGGACTTTAACAAGAGGATCTCTTAAACAGAGCCGTCAAAGCAGAATGAACTAGTCTCAATATAATCACTAGACTATAAATTAAAACATGGCAATACACAAAGTCTATACGGTGCTCAGCATATACAAGCACACTCCTTACAAATCTCTCTTTTAAATTCATATTTTAATAGGAAGCTATACAATATTATATTTGTGCACATTAGTCAGTACTGAAGCTAAATCTGTAACTTATCTGACAAAATAGCTCACGATAACGGTCAAAAAAACTAGAACACCCAAATTTCAAACATTTTATTGAAAAATTTATTTTAAATTTTGTAAGTTGTAATTTTTTCAATATTTTGCATGAATGTAATTGTATTATCTTTCAATTTGTAAATATGTCTGGTGACTAAAATATTATTTGAATAGGTTTAATAAATCTTAGTTAAATGCACCAAAATACATTGCCTATATTTACTGAAAAATGGATACAATTATTTATTTTCAAAATGGGGTGAACTCGATTATGCTGAGCATTGTATAGTAATAAATGATTCTTCAGAATGTCAAGAATATTACTCTTAACAGTTGTGTGCCCCCTCAAAAGCATCATGTATTACCACAATTGTAAAGAAACACTGTTAAATACTCCAACATGAAACACTCAAGACAACCAAAGGTAGTTTTGAATGGTTATTATTAAGTGTTTTTACACAGAGTAAATGGAACAACATTAGATGGAAGCATATAATTGGGGGGTTCAAAATAATCTCTAGATTTTTTTTTACAAATTAAAAAAACAAAATTCTAGTTAGATAGAAAAAAAGTGACATTAAATAACTATGCTGATAAATTTACATGACAAAAGAAACCAAAAGGAAAGAAAAGGAAATAAAAGAGTTGCTCATTTCTTAATTTGGTCTGCTTTATCATGACTCAGTTTTGGGGCCCAGTGAGGAAAAACGTTATCCAGTAAATTTGGCTGAGCAAGTCGAGAGCGTGTGGCTGAAACCCAGGAGCATCTCGTATTTCTTCACCTTTCCATATTACACCTCTAGCAAACACTGACATTGCAATCTCAATACAACAAGGTGGAAGCATGCAAGATCTCACTTCGTTGTGGTCAATGTCTTTGGCTTGTATATTCAGCAGTGACTCTTGAGAGTAAATCACAGGGAGGGAGCATTAAAATGAAATCGCATCTCAGTAACTCTAACACTTTTTTTACGGATTTTATAAGAGATTGTAACAAGAACAGAGCTCAGAATGTCCATGCAACATTATTACATTACAGATGTTCAACAAACCCTGAATTTACAAGATTTAAAGAAATAATTCACAACTTCATTTTACACAATTACAAAAAGTCTTTACACAGATGCTACAGCACTGCTATTGCCAATGACTGGCTGCTGTGCTGTCTCACCCTCAACAGATCCGAGCAAATGTGATTTTGTAAAAACACAAAACAAAAAGGTTTTAAAAATTGAGCGGACAATTCCATGTTACAAAATGAATAGTCTAAATCGAACAAAAAGGAAGCATGTTTTCTGCACCTCTGTTAATACAACTTGTTAAAAGCTTTAGTAATAGTCCAAAACTTTATCATCAAGAAGTTCTTGAAACCTCAAGTGTTCAAGGCCACAGATTGATCTCCTCTGTATATGCAGAATGTGTTTGTTTTATCAATAGGTGTCACGAGATAAAATATTATATATATTTGATCAACAAGATCACACGTCTCAAGTTTTTGAAACATTTCTAGTAAAAAATAAAGGTAAAGCATAGCCGTACTGACAGAACAAAACTGAAAAGAATTTGTGAACAAATCAGGTTTAGAGACAAGAACTCCATAAAAAGAGTGCAGTATATTAGACCTCAAACTTTCTACACCGTTTGAGATGTGAGCTAAATTGAACCTGCAGATTCAACATATTGAAAAGACATTCCATCTGTTGCAAAACTAGACAATTAAAGTCCCCGAAATGCAGTACTTTTTAAAAGGGAAAGAAAAAAGAATAATCCTGGGGCCTAAAAACAAACAAAAAGAAAAAGGACAAAAGACAGGATTCCTTCCAAATTAATGGTCTGAGTATAATGTACAGTGGGCTGAATACAGCCCTTTCAACAACCCCTGAACTGGTGTAATGGTGAGTCCCATTGGGCAGAAGCCACACTGAAGTGGGGTTTAATGATTGGACTGAGGGATTAATCAGCCAAATTTGTACTTATTTATATCCCTGCTGATTCCAGGCCTGCCCGTAGACACCATAAGTGGGCATCTGCCAGCCGTTGGGCACATACTGACCCATCTGCTGACCGTTGCCATATGACTGTCCCCACTGTCCGTAGGGCTGGGCAGCATAAGTGGGTTTATTCTGCTGTGGAATAGAGAAAACAGACAGTCATCCGAGTTTGCAATACTTCATAAGAATGGCACTTTACTACACAAGTCACGGCTAAAAGGGTACCTGGGGCATTGGCATTTGTTGCATGGATCTCATATCTGCCGTTTCTTTGCCCCAGTAGCACTTCACAGTGTGGCCCTCAATGCATGTCCCATTTACAGACACTATGGCATGAGCGGCACCCTCATGAGAATCAAACCTGTAAGAGAAAAAGGATTTGTTTTCAAATACATAAATGATTTTAAATCACAGACCTGTCTCCACCTGGTATTAACTTGTATTTCAATGACCTAATCATTAGCAGTCCCCTAATGTGATTGAGCTGTCATTGTGACTTTTCCCTCTTATTTTAGGGCAACATCAAAGTGTTAAAGTATACATAACTAGTTTTGGTATGCTTTCTGACAGTACACCTCATAATGATCAACCATACAAATTTACACTAAAGGCAATCCAGTCAAATGCATTGGCATCTGAAAGTGGTCCAGATTTGACAAGCTGTCAAGCTCAAAACATTTTTTCAACCAGTGAACGCTCACATTTAATTAAGTGATCAAGTCTAAACCGAATGCAGTTAACACATACCTCACAAAGGAGTATCCTTTCTCTGGGAAAACCCTGATCTCCATTATCTGGCCGAACGGAGAGAAAGTCTGTCTCATGAGCTGATCTGCAGTGAATGAGAAAAATATTAAAACACCACAATCATCTAGAACTTTCAATTGCAGATTATTTAATGACAACATGAGCAAAACCTGTTTTTTTTCAAGATACCATTTACACAACCTTTAAACAGCTGCACAAACCTGAAAGGCCAGAAGCAATGCCACCACAATAAACGGTGCAGTTACTAGGACTCGACTGGTTCAGAACCTCCTCGTAGGACAAGTGTTTGCTGCTGGCTCCTTAAGAAGAAAGATATAAAGTTTGTTTGATAGTAATACAACACAAAATAATGACATGACTACAAATCAACAAGACCAAAGGCATAACTACATAAGACAATCATTTAGAGACACTGTTCATTACTTAAATTTAAACAGACTTACCTTCATTGTTTGATTTGGGAGCTGATGGCTTCCTTGTGGCCCAGTTTGTTCTGATCTGTCTGCCGCCCAGCCACTGGCCATTCATTTGCTGAATAGCACTTTCTGCATCCTATAAAAAAGCCATAAAGAAACAGATGGCATTCAAATCATGTTGCATGAAGCTTTGCTGCTTAAAAATAACATGCAAACACATACCCATTTGTTAATGAAGGAGATGAAACCATATCCTTTAGATTTTCCTGTAGCCAGATCCTTCACCACGCGGGCATCACTACAAAAAACAAACGCAGTAAGAATCTGAATGTCAAAGGATTAGTTCTCCTCAAAATGAACATTTTCAACATTTGAGTCAAGTCATTTAAACCCACAAGACTTCATTATCGGAAAAATCTAAGATTTTTTTTCAGAAAATCTGAAAGACTTTTGTCCCTCCACTTAAAGTCCCTTCATGCTTTAAAAAGAATACATTTGATTTCATTGACTAGCAAACAAAAACACCTGACTGACACATAAGAAAAAGTTTCATTGATTCCTAAGGGAAGCTCAAATGTGCTTTGTGCTATTGGCTATGCATTAAGCAAGCAATACTATGCTTCTGTAGCCAATTATGAATGCTGAAAATACTGTTTGGTGATCAATGCGTACAAGTAACAACCTAAATTAAATCCACTTATATCATCAAAGGGTTTGTCTTAAGTAGGCTAGGATTAATCTTATCAATGTGTATGGATCTGTGTTTTGATCTCTTACTCTTAAGCTATTTTTAATTGTAAAATAGCATGTTGGCCATATTTTGAGCGGAAACAAAAATCTTCCAAAAATGATCAAATGAATGACTATAATTATTTTCTTATGGGCTTGGAACAGCGTTTAGTTGAAATGCAGATTTATCATTTTGGGTGAACTAACCCCTTGTGACAATTTAAAATAGCACTTGAATTACACAATATTCCCCTTACGATATCTTTCCAAATGGAGCAAATGCTGCTCTGACATCATCTGTCGAGATTTCTGGGCTCAGGTCACCAACAAAGACGTGGAAATGATCTGCAATATTGTTTTGAAGTTACTTAGGCATCTCATAAGCATGATTGTAATTGTGTACAATGAAGTTATGCATTATTTTTTTAGATCTTATAAATGTATGATTTGCTTAAGGGCACTTACTGCTTGTGTCTTTCTTTTGACTGCTTGGCGTTGAGGCCCAGTTGACTTTCATATCCTATGAAAAAGCAGAGACTGGTAGGTTAAGACAAATGCCACCATCAAACATAACCTTCATCTTACTTAGCCACATAATGTGATGAGCCTCCAAACGCAGAATAAATAATCTGACAGTAAAAGTAAAAAAATAAATAAAATTAAAAACATTGATCACTTAAGTTTAAAAGAAACAAGGACTGTTACATACACGCTGGATTTATTTTCTAAATGGTAAAAAAAAAGTCTAAATAGCAAGAGACTTACAACAGAGTGATATTATCAACTCGTATTACTCCTCAATTGGTCCATTACCTGTTGAGGATAAAATATTTGCACTGAATATATTTTGCTAAGGCTTTTGCTAAATTTGAAGGCCTGGTACAGCAGGTATATATGATAAGGCGTGTACATGGAGAGATTAAAAATAAAAATGTCACCCAGTGCTCAGATGACGACTAAAAACAGAGAGAAAAAAAAGGAAGTGCCACATTCTCACATGCTGTGACATCTGAAACGCCACAAAAGTAATGAGGGACTCCAAAAAACAAGTGTAGGGTTTTGCTGCAAGGAATAAATATTTTTCATATGAATGTTCATTGATATAACCATAGTGTTTTCAGCTAAATTTAAACACATATGAAGAGTTCAGGTGGAAGAATCTCTAAGTGCCATCTAGAATTTTCTTATACAATAAGCATTCTCCTCTGCCTCTTATGTTTATTTAAAATATTTAATGTTAAAACTGGCTGAAAATAACATATTCTTTGTGATAGGTAAAATTATTAAAAAAAAGAAAAATGTAAAATGCTGATTTTTTTAGAATAAAATTTTAGACAGCACTTGGAGGTATTTGCATCTGAACTCTTTTTATATGTTAATGAAACCATAAACGTAAAGTTACGAGCATGTACAGTGGACACGACTAGATGTTGACCTGTATGGTTATACGTACAGCTTATAAGGTTTTTCATAGGTAAAAAGACAGAAGTGTGTGCTACGATGATAAAGTAAAGGACAAGTATTCCTTTTTTAGTCTAATCCAAACTAACCATAAGCCTTTAAAAGAAATGTGTTCTGCTCAAATGACTATGTAATCAAGAAATACAGTTAAAACTTCAATTTGAAATGTTTTAAAATGTTTACAAAATACAGCAAATTGCTGATGACATGCATTTTTAAAAAAAGAGGATGTGATGCACAGGTTAAAAGCAACGTACCTTTGTGTTACCACTATAAATGTGCCATCTAATTTCAGCCAGTGTATTTAGTTAGCTCTGATAGCACATTTAGCAAGTTGCTTCATTTCAAACCATATTCAGTCTACTCAGTTTTTTTTTTAATAATCTTACCTTTCCTAAGATCTTCCTGCCATTCATGGCAGCCAGAGCTGCAGCAGCATGTCTGTTCTCATAGAACTCCACAAAGCAGTATGGGTCATTTCCAGTTGTCTGGAGAAAAAAAAAATAATAATTTGCCAAAACGCTGTTAAGGACATCCAAGATTCTCACTCTTTTTTTAAAATAAATTAATCATCATGACCTTAGGGTGATAGCTCATCTAAAATAAAACATGATGTTCATTTAATCATTAATCTAAGATGCTGACTAATTTTTTAGAAGAAAATTTTGGATTTTTTTTTTTTTATGACTGCAAATCATAATGAACTCCCACATGAGCTGATTCAATTTGTTTGCGAAGGTGAGGAAGTTTGCACGTTTTTTCTTAGTATAAAATGATAGTTACTTCTGCTTGCTCTGGACAATGACACCTATATGTTTGCATGTCCAATATCAATAAGATATTTTATTGATTACCAAAGTATGACATTACACAACAAAGCAATAAATAAAAATTACTTTACATTTAATTTAGGGTAAATATCCCATGTAGTTTGTGATCAAAGTATGTAATTGGTTTTAAAATCATTTTGATGAGACCATTTTATAACCTAAAATAAATTAACTTTATACATTTATAAAAATAAAAATCACAGACACTAAGTTAGCCAGGAACATGGTAAGAAGCGTGAGTGTTTAAGGTTCTCCTCGTTTTCAGGATTTATGCAGCCCAGAGAAACCCCATTTGTAGAAGAATCCAGGTTTTAAATGACAGTGGGATCCTTGTATCTCGGATATTCTTTTAACTCACATCAAGGATCATTTTACAGCTCTTGCAGGGGCCGATCTGAGAGAACACTTGCAGGATGAGGGCCTCCGTAACATCCCTGGAGAGGTTCCCGACATACCTAAAAACAGGAGAGCACAGGGAAAACTGAGAAACACGGTCACCGCGTTGAGTTTTTCTTCCATCCCTCACGCCAGCAGTGCATTCCGCGGGGTTTCATTTCTGCCACGTTTTCAGCGCAAGAGAGCGAGCAGCTAACACAATTCAACAGCTCCAACGCTATTTCATGACAGAAAATACACGTACAAACACACATAGTCTTACTTATTACAGTCTTTCAACAGCAGAAAGCATAAGAGGGGCCCTAAGAGGGATATAACAGTAGAATTTTAAGTGTTTTACGGTTAGTAGTTAGCTATTTGGGTAACGAAAACCGTGCGCTACAAACGGAACTTGTAGCTAAAGCCTCTGTAGCAAGTTAGCTACGTTATTCGGGATGCGAACTGATTAGTTCACCCATGTGGATATAACCGGATAAATGAATAGTGGGTTGAGGCAAACACCGTATTTTTCACCGCCACCCATGCTAGGCTCGGTTCCGCTGCTCCAGTTTGGTGTTGTTTAACCGGCTTGTGCAGTAGATACTGAAATGGACGCACATATCGCACTTCGCATATAACAAAAAGAGTCATTTACGGGCTCGTGCTCGAGTTGCTTATGTGAAGTTTGGCGTACTGTGCTTGCGACCTCTGCGCCGCTTAAACAAACGTGTTTAAACACGAGTTTGGCTTCGTAAAGCGGCCGACTAAACTGCAGCAGCACTTACAACGTCCTCGGCTGGTCCTCGTCCATCATCATCGTGCTGGTGGGAAAAGGTCGACGCTTTGTTTAAAACCTGCCCTGTTTTTAACGTTTGAATAGGTATAGCCTCTAAGGTTTTAACTTGTTAGTTAACGCGAATTTACTGGAATAACTTCCTCTGACGTTACTCGTGAAACGTCATCAAATGACGTTGCCAGAGTTCCTCTTCAGCGCCTGACTGTTCTTGGCGGCAGAGATCGACTACTGCCCCCTATCAGATCAAACGTTGAACCCCTGGTTGAACCCGACACACCAGCTCCCAAATTTTTAAGTGAATCGGTTCTTTCGACTCTTTTGCATTATAACTTGATTTGTGTTCTTTAAAGCATTGCCATTTTAACTCTTTATTGGCAATGACCTCACGAAAACGCTGAGCTTTAATTCTAAGTTATCCTACAGCTTTTTATCCGAATTGTACTTTACTGGTTTAAGACACCTGCACACAATGTGAATTAATTCTGTTTTCCGATCTATGTAAACATTTTACAATGGTGGGCATCACGGTGGCGCAATGGGTAACATAAAGGTTGCTGGTTCGAGCATCGGCTGGGTCACTTGGCATTTCTGTGTGGAGTTTGCACGTTCTCCCCGTGTTCGTGTGGGTTTCCCCCAAAGTCCAAAGACATGTGGGTGAAATTATGTATATGTATATCATGTATAGGTGAATTGGGTAAGTAAAATTGTCTGTAGTGTATGTGTATGAATGAGAGTGTATGGATGTTTCCCAGTGATGGGTTACAGCTGGAAAGGCATCCACTGCGTAAAACATATGCTGCATAAGTTGGCGGTTCATTCTGCTGTGGCGACTTAATAAAGGGACAAAGTTGAAGAGAAAATGAACAAATTTCCAATGGCTCCTAACGAAACCTTTTTTTCCCCAATGCATATAGCTGTCAAGAAAGACACTGGTTTAGTTTCGAACATGTCAATATAGAGCCTATTTCATTGTTTAGAGATAAACATAGACCACTTTTGAAAGCGTATAATATTTTGAATGTAGATGTAATTGGTATCAGTGCAGTCTGATGTTGTCCTATAGCTCGATGATAAAATTTTAAGAATTATTCATTAATGTTGTGTTGATTCTGGACAAATTATTCATTTTTTTTTCTGTGTGTAAAAGAGTCTTTATTTGTCTTAATTCTTTCCAGTACTGCAGTGTTTGTAAACTAAACATGAAAATGAAATTTGCTGAGTTGATAAGAGACATGATTTAGTAAAAGAGGGTTAAAATACTATATTGTTTTCTATAGTTTACTCCCATTTTATAATGTGAATTCATGAATGCCATTATAAACGTAAAGTTGTTTATTAATAATAAAGATAAAAGTTTCATAAAGTCATATGAAAACATTTGCATTTGCAGTGTTTATTGTGAAATGATATATAAGGATCTACATTAAACTGCAGTACATATACATTCTTAGTTTGATTTCTGTGTGAAACAGATTTGAATGTAACAGTATCTCCACATGTGCCCATATGCTTTCTGCAGTATAAACAAGACACAAATGAAAGGCAAACGTGAACTTTTTGAGAAACAGAGGAGGGTGACAGAATTTGATTACCCGTTTGCTGCCTCGTCTGATTAACCCTTGTGTATGTTCATAGCACAATACTTTCAAGAATATATACAAGTGCAGATGTGCTTGATTTATTTATTTTTTAAGTACCATTCATACAAGTAGATGTTGGGGCGTTGTAATTGCAAGTGTTAAATATTACAATAATTCACACACACATACAAATCAGCTTGCCTTGTATAATCTGCATTCAGATACTATTGGTGACTAATACACCCCTGCATATTTGTAACTTTTGGTAGACAAAATTATTGTATGACATTTTACATATACGATCAGTTTTGGGCAGCGATGCCCAAACTCAATCCTGAAGGGCCGGTGTCTTGCAGATTTTAGCTTCATCCACAATTAGACACACCGGAACCAACTAATCAAGCTTTTACCAGGTATTCTAAAAAGCTTCTGGCAAGAGCAAGTTGAAGCTAAATTCTACAGGACTTTGGCCCTCCAGAACTTAATTTGGGCAGCCCTGGTGTAAAGTACCTTATTGGACACTTTTAATGCTTCCAAACTGTTTGCTGTGTGTCTTAAGGTAGTTCAGTATGATGGGATTTACTTTCTATGTAGGCTACGGTTTGATTGGACGGAATTTTCTAATTCCCATAGATAGGAAAAAATAGAGTAGTGACTGCAGGTTGAAGGAAGTAGTGGAGTAAAACACACACAGCACTAATGTACTCAAGGGAAGGTACACATTGTTAAAACTATGTAGTAAATTACTAATCCTGAGAAAAAAAACTACTCAGAGTAATTTGAGTATTTGTAATCTGTTACTTTACACACTGTATACGACATATATTTTATATTTGAAATCCAAACACGAAATTGTATATCTTTTATACAGTGTATCACATAGGCTACATAATTTGCATATTAGATTTGAATAGGACATTAGTAAATCAACAGATTCATTGGAAAGATTCGACTCAACGACTCGTCAACAAAGTTTGGCATGTTTGAAAAACTTGTTACACGTGTATTCATGTTTTAACAACTACATAATGACATAAAATTACACTCGAGTGTGCTCTCACATTCACAAAATTCATTCTTACACACTTGATAAATGCAATTTTGTGAGTGTTGGGTAATGCACGGGTGTAGTATTTATTTCATTTCCCCAATAATCACACAAATAGTATCAAGACTTCCTAAATTGCAATTCAGCGACATCGGAAGCAAGTTTCTTCAGTAAATATGAATCAAGCCGATTGGGCCAATCACATGTGCGTGGGCGCCGGTTGAGAGGCGTGTTCAGAAAGATCTGATGCTGCTCAGCTCTGCAGTGAAGATGGCGGAGAGAAGACACGGCCATCTGAAGCCAATCAGCAGAAAATGCCTATGATTGCATGCTGGCTTCAGTAGACGCGTTGTCTAATTGGGTAAGTAAAAGAAAATCGTTTGCTCAAACATCAGTGATATTTTCTCCTGCCGACGTTAATCTTTATCGCGCATGCTTTGGTCGAAAAGGTTCGGTTGGCGTGTACGATTCATTCTTATACCGTATAAGGACTCACTAATCGAGTCTTCGACTGGTTTCTGCCGAACAAAATAAAAAGCTTGAACAAACCTGGTTTAATAGCCGAGCAATGTGACGTTAAATTGTAGTTTTTAATGTCGTGAGGAATTGCAGCCATTTTGTTTAGCTTCGCTTAGCCGACAATTTAGCAAGGGCCTTTGGGGCTTCAGCTTGTTATGATGCGTTTTAAATACAGTGTTTATTTTTTAGGCTGTCATGTAGCTACATCACACTACAGTATAGCAAATAAATACACAGTTAATATGAGGTAATGCCACTTCGTTATGCGTTGTGATGAGTTAAACGTTGAAAATGCAGAGTTTTGCACTCTTAATTTGCTCTTCCAATATAAAATTAGCATTTAAGACCTGGAAATGTTTTATTTTGTTTGTAATTAGAGCTAAAATGCACCATAAATGCATGGCTTGATTTTATTTTTAAACTAAATGCATCTTCCTCAGTGTTTCTGTGTTCTTTAAATTATCGTTTGCATTTACTTAATTTCAAAACCTAAAGAAACTATTCATTACAAGTCAGTTTTAATGTGCCATAAAACTTTTTCCCAATGTCTCTTGATTTTTCTTTTTCCTTTCTCTTTTTCAGTACTGACAGAAGATCTGGCCTCCTGGGATGGACAGTGCTTAGATATGGGAACCATTTAAGCTGAATGCATTGTGATTTCCAATAATTGAGACAGTAATTTCTAAAAAGCTGTCTACATTAATGAAAAGAACAATGTAGTCAGCTTAGCATATTCAACCATGTACATGACTATTACTAAATAGGAGTTTCAAGCTTTATAATGTATACATGCATGTGTTAGGGCTGCAATTGTTTTAGTTAAATCGGGCACATCTCTCCCCAATTGTGTTCTTGTATCAGTTTTAGCATAGCTATTTTTAAGAAATTAAATATGGATGTAAATGAGATTTTACCTCCCCTCCCATTGGAGCCACCTGACGCAGTATTGGCGGGGAATGATTACAGTAAAGCACCTCCACCACCTCCCCTGCAAACGTCCAGTGACGCAGAGGAAATGGACGTTAGCTCTGGTGGTGATGGACACCAACACACCCCAGCAGTGGACAGGGACGAACAGCTTCTCCTCAACAAACGCACATTGTCTGTTAGTAGCCGCCCATCAGATAGTACTGACCCCATGACTACTTGCCCTAGAACCGCTCGCCATGCTCCCCCTGTTACCAAGTTTTTACCTGATCTCAAACTCCTCAGAGACGTAAAGATCAGTGTCAGCTTTTCGGACAGCAGTAAGAGCAAAGACAGGAAGGTGTTGTACACTGGTTTTGGGCAGGTTAGCGATGAAGATCAGAGCCTAGAGAGCATAAACGGAGAATTGCATGATTCTGTAATGATGAGAAGCGTGCCTGGCAGTTCAGCTATGAGCACTGGCTTCATGGGTTTAGCTAGAACTAGAGAAGAGCTGGAGGCAGAGCAGGAGAACAAGGTTGAGTTCGCTGTGCTGGATGACCTGGAAGATTTCAGCGAGAACTTTCTGGAAGATGGAGAGCCAAGTGCTTTCAGGTCTCAGATGATAGTTCAGCAGGAGCAAGTGCACGAGGAGGACCTGAGTTACTCCTATGAGGTAAAATGCATGGTTTGTTACGATTATAATTTCCTCTTTGTTAAAGGGATGGTTCATCCAGCAATTAGAATTTACTCTGCCTTGAGTTTTATCCAAACCTTTAAGTTTCTTAATACTGTTGAACAGTAAAGGTGGTATTTTGAGTACTGAAAACCTGTAGCCTTTGATTCCTTAATAGGATAAACAACTACGTTGGAAGTCTGTGGTTACAGGTTTCCAGCTTTCTTTAAAATATCTTGTTTTGTTTACCAGAAGAAACTCAAAGGTTTGAAATAAACGTAAATGATCACAGATTTGTCTTCGGGATGAACTATGCCTTTAAATTGAAATAATGCAGACTAATTAAAGATGTTCATCATATAAAACATGTACTGAATTGTGCGTCATATGCAGATATGTGTTTTTCATTCTTCAACAAGGATCCTGGAGTGTAACAAGGTGGCTCATTGAAGAACATTTGAATCACAGC